ATTCTTCATTACTGAACACAACGATTTTTTTGCCATAGTTCACTGTTACAAAAATGATAATCTAGGAACTTCATGGTTATTCCATTCTCAAATGAAAATTAGTAGGCATTTTGTAGTAGAAGTTTAATAAATAGATTTTAAGTGTGTCAAGGAAGAACACAAGCAAGATCTTCACATATCCTTTAGAGCTTGTAATAGCTTTCTGAGGTTTCAGTTGGTGTATTTATGATTAGGTTACACAAGCCTAAAGCAACTGATCTGTAATTTAGAAGTTTCTGATGTAAAAACTGTTCTTTCAGCAGCTGTTCATAATACATTAACAACCAAATCATGTTATGTATAATAGCAATTCTTTGCAGGGGGAGGACAGTGTTTTATGGGATTACAATAAAACTATTTTAGAAATAATAAGTATTAAATCTTCTGCCATTTTAGAATAGCAGTAAAGATTTTGGTGCCCCCATCTGTCTTCTCATTCCCTATCTGAAGGTACATAAAAAATTTCAGAGTGGAATTACGATAATGGAGAACATAAATTCACTGGACAACTACATTAGATTTTCTGTGTTTCATTTCACTAGTGAGTCTCCTATTAGTTACAGGAATTCTTGGTTTGGTAGCTTTGTTTTGCAGCAGTGAAGCTGCTGTAAGTAATTTCTGGCTACTTATTCTGACCCTTGTAGTGCAGTTTGCATCCCCCTTCCAACCATAAGGCTGCTGCAACTCTAGGGAGAAGGGCTGGGGAGAGCTGAATTTGTAACTAGGTTAAAAATACTCTCCAGAGTAAAAATAACCTTTGAAATTGTTGGGTGTTTTAAAACCAGTTCATTAAAATGATTCATCCTCTTGCTGTTCTTTACTTTCTGTTAAGAAAGTGGAAGAAAAGGTGTAATATTTGGAGATGTACCAGATAAATAAAGTAAATAATAATTACAAAAGTAATTATCTTTTTTGTAGTAGAGGTGGTACATATAGTTTTTGTGTTTATTATATTTTTCCCTTTTAGACTCCTCCTAAACCAGTTAACTTTTACCTGTAAAATAGCCTAAGAGCACTCATTTTAAATTTTACAGGCTCTGAAACCACTGTAACCAGAGTGTATGGGAATAGGATTGCAGCATCTAAATTGAATTGCTAAGAATTCTGTAAAATAACAAGTCGTCTCTAAAAATTATTATTATTTTTTTTCTTTCAAAACTGTAGGCTTTGGTTGTATCTAAACAAGTTTATTAGGTGAGAATCTGTTAAGTCTGGAACTTTTACATTTTAATACCATGTCCCTTTAGAATAACTAGCAAAGCAGCATCAATTGTAATGCTGTTTGTGGAGTGAATTTTTTTTCAGGCCATTAATTCCTTTTAATATATGTTACGTTTGGCAGCCTGTTTGAACTGTTTGTACAGTTTGTATATATAATGTATCAGATTAAATTCTTTTGAAGGCATTTCGGTTACAACAGTTACAGTTATACCAAGTGGTGTTTAGAGAAAACACAGATATGCATTGAAATAGACTTTTTGCTATGCTACACTTTCAAAACAGGGGCAAGTAATTGGTCTCCACTGCACTAGGGAAGGGCAAGCAGTTATATTGTGTGGTGTTGCTCCTGGTTATATAGCAAGTTTTACTTGCAATACTAACTTTAATTAAAATACCCTGCCTTTGTTACACCAAGTATGTATGTTTTTTTTGTTCAAAAGTATGAAAATTGTGTGTTGTCATCTCCAGTGCTGTTTTCAAAAAAGATACTTTCATGATCACTTGTAATTCTTTATTATATTAGGGCATATAATAAAGTAATTCAGAGTTTAGATAGTTCTAATGTATTAGTCCTTTTTTTTTTTTTTTTTTTAATAGCGTATATAACGAAACTAAAATCTACTTTATGTGCTGATGTTTAGGAAGTGATGGAGGAGTCATATTTGCCACCCCTCACAATTCAACACCCCCTACCCCCCCCAAAAAATTATAATGCCCGAACTTCTGTTTAGTTGCTTGTAAAAGTAGGGCTTAATTACATTTGTGAACAGTGTATTTTGACAATTAATGGGTAAAAACAGTCCTCATTATGTTTTATTGTACTTAAAACATTGTTAGTTAAGTTGGAATCTGGCCAGTAGGGGTTCTTTGTAAACTCTGGCCGATGTGTTTCCCTTGATCTAACAGTACAGTCTTGTTTCAGGGCATTAAGTTTTGTTTAGCAATGAATAGATGAACTAGTGCTTTAATCTTCCAAATGTAGAACAGAAAGACAACTTGTACCTTAGTAAGTCATGCCGTAGTCAGGCGTGTTGGTCAGTTTGTCTTGACCTTGTTTACAGTTTGATTCATACCACTGTCATGGTTGATACTAAGCTGATCTTTATTGCATTTTGATATCAGAAATGGTGGCATATTATCTCAACATGTGTGTTCTACTTTAGTGTTACTAATTTATTTGCTCAAGAAAATAGTATTGTATTGAAAATAATGTTTTTCTGAGTTATTTAAGATGAGCTGACTTTAAATGGCCACTTCGCTGTAGTAGAGGTGATATTTAGCTGTCCACTGCCTTAGAACGGCTTGGACATAACTGTGATTAGATAATGAATGTGATACTTAACGGTGGCTTCCCATTTTGCATCTATCAATGTTCTGACAAAGGAATCTGGTTTGGGTATTGTCATCATTTTCTGTCTTAGTTTCTAATATCCAAGAAACAAATCCTGCAATTGTTTCATGAGCTTCCATGAGCTTTGTGACACCTTCCACACGTTCTAGCTAGGAGAATGTAGTGCAGTAACTAGCTCTAAGTCAGGAGTTCTTCCATTTTTTACTTTTTTTTTTCTCCATTTGCCTGTAGTTGTCTTTACTGTGGCTCACTTGAGTGGTGTAACTCTGGTCAAATGCAAGCTCTCCTTCTTTACAAGTAAAAGAAAGTAAACAGAGAAATAGAAGTTCTTTATGGTTTCTAAGCTAGGCAGTTGATGGTTAGTTCGCAGAAAGGAGATGGGCAAAAGATATGAAATACAGCTTTGTTTGTCCTATACACTGAATTCTTCCGTAGTCTCTGTATAACTGAATGCTTGTGCCAAAACAAGCATTCATTTGTTGACTCCTTATTAATATATTAACTGTGCATAGCGGGTTTAATATATTTTTATATATTCCATATATATATATTTATATATGCTTGAAGTGGGCTTGTCATACATTTTAAGGAAGCGAAGAAATCTAAGAACCATATTTTAGCACTAATTCAAATAGCATGTTGTAGTTTTGAAGATACGCATTCTCAAATGACATATATTTGCCTTTTGTGTTTTTTTTTTTTTTAAGAATAATATTCAAGCATCAGAAACTCTTAAAACTGAAATTGATGATATGAAAAAGAAGCATGATGAGGCTGCTTCAAAAGTTCTCCAGCTTGAGGAAGATATCATGACTGTTACTCAAAAAGCCATTGCAAAAGAAACTGAGTTAGACAGGTATTTAGTCATTTTGTTCCTTACCTTCCTCATTTTGCTGTTTGTTTTTTTTTTTAATAGGTGTGTTGTTTTTTTTTTTTAAATAACAATTTTCACTGTGTGCATTAATTTTCTGTATTAATAGTTCTGTACTATTAATTTGTCAATGTTTTAGTCTGAAGCACAAACTGAAGAAAGTGATGCTTGAGAAGGAGCAACTTGAATGTGTGTTGAAGACAGAAAAGGATGAAAAAGAACTTTATAAGGTAACTTTATTCCTTACACCTGTAAAAACTGAAATGGAGTGGTTTGAAATAAAGGTAATAATGTTTTATGGAAAAGTCTGATAAATTGAATTTGGTAAGGAAGAAAGGAAATGGGCATTCTGTGAACATATTTTTAATGCAGTTATGGATGTTCTCATATAAAAATGAATGCGGAAAATAACATCTGAATTCATCTCATGGTATAAAAAGGTCTCTAAGAAGCAGAATGAATCACTAATTTGTTAAAAAGCAGGCATAGTAACAAAAAATAATGGAGACTAGTGAGGAAGTTCTGTAGTTATGCATTGCATCACCCAGTAACTACTTTTCTTAACACACTTTTTCACAAGTAAATTACATTTTACTCTTTGAAGTTCTCTCTCCAGACTGTTTCCTAGGTCCCTGTTCCTGAGTCTTGTACATAACTCTGAGAAGCTTTAAGAGGATCTATATTTTTACTAGCATGGCTGCTTTCTTTTGCTGTATTGGGAGACACCCATACTAAAATAAAACATAGTGTCTCCTCCCTCCAAAGGCAAAAAAAAAAAATTATATGCTAAACTAATGAAACCCTTAGCTCGTACGAAACAAATCAAGTGTATTTAAAGGGTTATTTCTGCTCATAGGAAAATGACAGTATGTGGCACATACATACTAGAAGTCATTAAATCTCAAAACATCTTTCACAAGGATGGAATCTTTTTTTTTTTAAATGAACAACAAAATCTTCTGCTCTTTGGGTAGGCAACACTTGAGTGCAAGTTATTCTTTATTAGGCATAATCTGATAGACCTGATGACGTTTTAAAAACAGTTCTAGAGTTGTTAAAGTAATTTCCTGTCTTTGGAAATCAGTGTTGCTGATGCAGACCTGTTTGCTTAGATGCTGCAGGTAGATACTACTAGAAGTTTAATTTCTCGTTAATTTTCTTCAGGTCATTTCTCTTTTGTTTGTCTTTAGTTAGAAAGGAGCAAATTCGGAATAGTTAAATTTTTTGCGGACAGAAATCAGGGCCTTAACTTCTAGGTATGGAGCGGAGCTGTTGTAGGTGGTCAAGCTGAAAGAATTCCAGGCAGAAACTTTGTTCTGGAGGGCAGTGATATCAAATGTTTACTTTTATATTTAGCTGTTCCAATCTGTCTCAGAGATGAGTCAGAATTTAGTGAACACTTAAATGGACAGTTGAACAGTAGTTTTCATAACGTGGAAGAAGAGTTTGACATTTTTTAGCATCATTACAGATACACTTGAAGAATATAGAAATAGAAAACACCAAACTAGTAAGAGAAATCCAGACGTTTAAGAATTTGGATGCAAACAAAGAAAGCATGATATTGCATTATAAAGAGGAGGTTGGCAAAATACAGCTAATTATAGCTGAAAGAGAAAATATGAAGAAAGCTTTTTTGCTCTCCTCATCAAACAAGGTAAGCTTTTCAAATAAATGCATCTACGGTTGTAGGTGTTTCACAAGTGAAAGAAAGAAGTTGAAGATATCACCAAGGGTGCAGGCTGAGAGGCAAGAGGATTATGGTAATCTCAGTAGATGCAGAAAATGAGCAAAGAAGTGAATTCTGTTTTATTACTTAGCATTCTAAGCTTGTTGAGGTGTCTCACATGATGAACTGTGATATGAACTATGTGTGAAAAAGTAGTTTGTGAGTTCAGTAAAAATGCATCAGTAAAATCAGTACACTCCTCTAAGTTGCTTTTTTAACTTCATGAAAAAGGAAGGAGATTGGGGAGAAAAGCTGATCATGTAGCTGTGTTGAGACTGCAGAGAGTGATGTAAGAGGAAAGAGGAGATATGCTGAAGGACTTGTTAGGTGAACATGCTGTCAAGATAAAATGATGCAAAAACTGAGGAAGAATAAGATGGCATGTAAATGGACTAAATTGGCTGAGAACTCAGTGATAAAAGTGCCAGTAGGACCTCTAAGGAAGAGGCGCTACTGTGGTGTGGTAGCATTGTGGTTAGCAAGCAGTGTGCTATAGTAGGAGAGTGAAATTGCTGAAGAACTGGTACCTATGCTGTCCATGGTCCAAGTGGGTGTACTTCAGACTAGTTTTAGTGTGGTAAGGTTTTAGTAGCTGGGGAACTACAGGGGTGTCTTCTGTGAGAGGCTGCTAGAAGCTTCCCTGATGTCCAATAGAGCCAGTTCCAACAGGATTCAAGACAGACCTGTTGCTGGCTAAGACTGAGCCCGTAAGTGATGATGGTAGTGCCTCTGGGATAATGTATTTAAGAATGGGGAGGAAAAAAAAGAAGATAAACAAAAAATCCCCCAAAAGACAAACCAGAAAAACTGGTCAAGAGCAACTGCAGCTGAACAGGAGTGAGAATATGGGAGAGAATTCAAGGTCAGTGAAGGAGGGGAGGAGGAGCTCCAGGCACCAGAGCAGAGATTCCCATGCGGATGATGGTGAGGGAAATTGTCCCACTGCAGCCCATGGAGGAAATGGAGGTGGGTACCCGAAGAAGGCTATGACCCCGTGGGAAGCCCACGCTGGAGCACGCTTGCTGGCAGGACCTGTGACTCTGCAGGGGACCTACGCTGGAGCAGTCTGTGAAGAACTGCAGCCTGTGGGAAGGACCCATGCTGGAGAAGTTCATGGAGAACTGTCTTCTGTGGGAGGGACCCTGCACTAAAGCAGGGGAAGAGTGAGAGGAGTCTTCTCCTGAGGAGGAAGGAACGGCAGAAGAAACGTGATGAGCTGACTGAAATCCCCATTCCCTGTCCCCCTGCGCTGCTGGAGAAAATTGAGAGTGAAATTAAGCCCCAGAAGAAGGGAGGGAGGGGGGAAGGTGTTTTAAAGATATGTATTTTTCACTCATTACCCTACTCTGATTAGTAATAAATAAATTTTTCCCCAAGTTGAGTCTGTTGTGCCCATGATGGTAATTGCTGGATGATCTCTCCCCATCATTCTCTTGACCCACAAGCCTTTTGTTATATTTTTCTCTCCCCTATCCTGTGAGGAGAGGGAGTGATAGAATGGCTTTGGTGTGTACCTGGCATTTAGACAGGGTCAACCGACCACAGTAAAAAAACCCATTAGGTGTTTGTTCCTGATGTTCATCTTCCTGTTTCATTTATTCCAAAAGAAATGCAGTTTCCGTGCTTTAAGACAGTTCTGTCCTGTGATCTACAGTGTATAGGAAATAGTGGAACTGACTGGGAGTTTTGCTTCACAAATATGCTTTTGATCCAAACTACAGTTAATTTAGACAGAGCCTTTGAGGCCAGCGTGGAAAAGGCAGGTTACACAGGTGACTTTATATTGTGTATCTTGCCAGTCTTCCTACAGAACAATCATTCTGGATCTCCAAAGAATGGAAATTGCATTACTGTGAGTTATGAATGTAAAATTTAAGTAGAAAAATAATGCTATTGAGAATAGGAATAGCGAGAGGACAAAAAAGACATGCTCTCTTGCTTTAAATTACAGTTTATCTTGTTTTAGTCTTTTGGTTGCTCTACAGTTTTGTTTCTGAATATGTTAAACTACTGCTGTATTTTACTTTGAAGTAAACACATGTAGGGGGTGTGTGTCTGGCAGTACTGAAGCCACCAAACATTTATGTCATTCGTTAATTTTGAAGTGCTTATCATGTTTCTGGTAGGATCATTAATGTTTTTGTCTTATGCTGTTAAGCTGTAAATATTTACTGAAAAATATAACTGTTTCATTATGTGCTATAAAAATAGCTGAAGGACAGGACTTTATGACATTTCTCAGTCCATTCATCTTTGTAATTGTTTACGAAATATATATTTGTATTCCTCTGGACTTGTTACGCTAAGTGATTATTCAGAAATTGCCAGACAATGAACTAGAGATACCTGAATTTATGTCTAGACTCAAGAAAATGAGAAGATTATACCTTCAGGAAGCCCAGAGGATGCGAGTAGCTTATAGTAGCTTTGAAGAATAATAATAATAATCATCATCATCATCACTCCGGGCTTCTCTGAGGAATGAGAAGCCAGTAGTGCAGCTTGATCAGTTGGCTCCTGGGCTGTCCTGTGGAGCTGCAGCAGTGCTGACAGTCTTAGCGCCGCGTGTTGCAGCTTGCTCCTCGTTATTTTTTATTCTCAGTTCCTCCTGAAAAGCTTGTTGTGAAGATCTTGGGAAATGGAGCTATGAGAAGAACATCCCAAAGCTCCTTTACTGTGTTTTACGTCAGCCAATTGTAGGCATTGTAAGACCTCTTACTCTGTTGTTACCTGCAGTGTCCTACTGTGGGATGAACTTGGGTTTTGAAGCTAAATGGCCATTTGTTCTTGTTAAGACTTCTATGGTGATGAGAACAAAGATATTCTGGAAAACAGAGAGACTTTCTTGCATTTTTGTTTAAAACTAAACCTGAAAGTACAACAAAAATCCACTTAGATAATAATATTTAAATTTGCTTTTATGTCATAATGAAATATGTTTTCACACCATTGTTAGCAAAGAAGGCAAATGGGGAAAGTAGCGCTTGTATGCTAACCTCTTGATTTAGTGTTTTTGCTAAAGCCACCAGGAAAATCTTTTTTCTTTCAAATGTTTCAATCCCTATCCCAGCCTTTAAGCTTTGAATTTAAAAAATGGTGTATTCTGTTCCCTGTCTTTTTCCTAGGAGGATGCAAGTATTTTAAAAGAACAGCTTCGGAAAGCCGAAGATCAAATTCAGGCTAGCAAACAAGAAGCTGTCCTAATGTCAAAAGAACTGAGCGATGCAGTAAACGTGCGAGATAAGACGATGGCAGATCTTCACAGTGCACGCCTGGAAAATGAAAAATGCAAAAAGCAGCTTGCTGATGCTTTAGCTGAACTTAAAAAAATCACAGCTCTGAAAAATGATCAGGTAAATTGTCAGTATTTAGTACTGAGATTTATCTGTGCTTATGAAATCTGTCAGAGGTAGCTTTGTTGAAGTTGGTGAATAAAATATTTTACGGATGATTAGTACACATTATTATCAAATTCTCTTTTGGCGCTCAAGATACTACCTTAAATCAAGTGTGTGTTAGCTGATTTGGAAGGTTGTTAAGAAAGGAGGTTTCTGCTACTACTACTTCCAGCAACTCCTTTCCACCCCCTCATTATTTTTACAGAATAAGACAGTATTTCTCTATATTATTTTGAATCCTCTCCCTGTCTTATTCTTTTACGTCAGATACAATAGCATTAAAAATGCATGCAGATAATGATGGGTAGAATTTTTTTATAATGCTCTTTCCTCATTGATGGATTATCTCTTGATTCTTTTGAGTCCTTACATTATTTATAGTCAAAGTTAGTTTGCTGTAGTATTTGTAAGTACAAAAATACTACTGTAATGGCAACTGTCTTGAGTTTCTTTCTCTTGGATAAAAATCTAGTGAGCTAATACCAGTTTTATCATTCTGACTTAAGTGAGCTTTGCACTGGATCTTCTGTGACTGCAACAACTAATTGGATTAGTTTGCTACTAGGATTACTGTAATGATGTGGCAGTTTGAAAAAATAAGTTGTGCTGGACAGTAATTAAAATAGAGCAGTAAATACGAAGTGAATACAACAACCCTCAAAAGAAATATTATATTTAAAGTATTCAAGAATTACATGTTTTTTCTAAGAATTTCAGTAATATACAATGCCTTTGAATTGCATCCTGAAAAAAATAGCAGATCATTCGAATGACTCATGTTACCAGTTGGTAAACATAGTTCGCGTAGCTTGTGTATCAGTGTTGCAGCTCAACTGACTCTCTTCCACTAGAAATATAGTGAATGTGATGGAATATAGTTGTGGTCTATCCATTTTTGCTATAGTTTTCTATAAGATAGCTAGAACACCTTCTGGAAGGTGTTCAGACTTTTGGTGTACATTAATCAGCCCAAAGAATAAGAATCCTTTTCACCTGCCTCTGGTGTTATACCAGTGCCTATTTACTCTCTCGGTGTATCCTGACTGGAATGAAGTTCAGCACAGCTGCTGCTTTTCTCTGTGCTCTACTACTCTATTCCTTTCTTTCCCACAAAGAAAATAGGAATTTCTTCTGTACATACATAAAGTATTATACTTTCTTTAATTGAAAAAAGACTTTTTGGGAAACAGTGGTATTGGAACAAAAAGGGAGAACAGTTTCTTTTTTTGTTTTTTTTTAGGAAACTTCAAACACAGTGGAGCAGGAACTGCGCAGAGAAGTTGAAGATCTGAAGCTTCGTCTGCAAATGGCTGCTGATCATTACAAGGAAAAATTCAAGGAATGTCAAAAACTTCAAAAACAAGTAAACAAGTTTACAGAACAGGCAGTAAGTAGAATGGGAGAAATTGCACTTGCTTTTTTAAGTTTTCAACAACTAATTAATTTGCTTCTGCAAAACCCAGTGCTTTTTAAAGAATTAAAGCATGCACTAAGCAGTGGATCTTTAGTTTACCATTTTCTTCTATAATGCTATGTTATTTCTGTGATTCGTTTTAGATAGTCGTTGAAACCCAGCATAGGATTTATAGTAACTGGTGTATGTAGAAAGCTGACAGAGTTTGGCTGAATCTATAAGTATAACATTGTTCAAGGAAGAATTTTGAAGCTGAAGCAGGGAAAAATCCATAATTACTACTTATACTCAGTACAACTGCCACCACAAAAATTCCCCAAAAAACCACAACCAAAAAAACCCAAACAACCCCCCCACACAACAAAACCCCCCACAACCCACAAAACAAACACAAACCCGGAAGTGGGGTAAATGGAGAACATGGAGGAGGATTTCAAAGTGAAGTTGGGAGAGATTCCACGACACAGTATATAATTGTATTCCATACGTATTTTGTATTCTTATCACTCTTCTCAGCTTTGTTCCATAAATAAATGAGGCTTTTGCAATGATTGTGTGAGTCTTTTACCACCTAGTAACGGAACCTGTCAGTGAATATTCAGACAGATTTGAAAGAGTTCTTCAGAATCTGTGAAAACTAGTGACTGTGTTGGAGAGGAGCTTAAATGGGGAAAAAGCGTATGAGCAGTGGCAAGATGTACGAATATGAATTCTTAAGAGAAACACAGTAATTATTTCTGCTATCCACAGAACAAATGGGGTAGTTATCTAGCTTTCATCTGCAGATTAAAGAGTTGTCTTCTCATCCAGAAGGTCAATGGTGAATGAGGTGTCATATCAGAACACCTGTAGCTTTTCCTTAAAAGTCTTCCACATCTTTGGCTGTGTTGTGCTACTGATAGCAAATACCAGATTTCACTACTTTGACACCAGAAGTCCAGCACTCATTAGTAATATAGGCTCCATTTTTAATGGAAGATTAGATTTAAATTGATGGATTTAAGTGTAACCATTTCTCTAGAAAACGAGGTATTTCTAATAATTTGCTTAGAAATGACTGTTTCTAGGAAAAGAACAACTTTATGACTTTTAGAATCTTACTTTATCATCTGAGTCAGTTTCAGTTTTAGTAGAATTTTATGTGTTTGCATATTTATTATTACTTCCTGTTTTAATGAGCAATTCCATCTAGTCCCAATTTTGGAGGAGATGATAGTGCAAGATATGTGTTACTTTGTGCTTTGGCTTTCACTTAATTAAATACCAAACCAAAATTTCTTTTCACAAAGAAAATTGCAGGGCATCAACAGAAACAGAAAAATGCATCTAACGTTGAGACAGCTACTGCCGTCGTTACAGAAAAAAGGTTTTCTGCATCTCCAGGTATCAACAGCTTAAATCTTGTCTATTTGTATCAGCCTGAAAGTGTTGTCTATGTGGAGTAGTGTTTATTGTATGAAGTAGGTGGACTTGTTCTTTTTAGTTAAAGCAATGTTCAGAAATATGAAAATTCATCTAAAAATTTTCTCTTTTAAGTGGTAACATTCATAAATAACTTCAAAACTGTATATTTTCAAAACAGTCAGTTGATATTTGTTAATATCAGTAGGACTAAATTTCTGCTTGATAGTTAACACTGAGGTGGTTTTGCCAAGCTAATAATTCACGTAAAAAAAATCCAAACCAAAACAAAAACCCAACCCAAAAAAACCCCAGAAAACTTCCCAAGTTTTGCAGTCATGCTGTAATGACTGTCCACTGTACCATTCTACTGTAAAATCCACTGAAAAGTTCTGATTACATGATGACAAGGTCAAGTCTATAGAGTATTCTCATAACTTACAGGCAGTAGTGGTTTACTGGAAAATGTTTAACTAGGCTATGCTTTTTATGAACTATGAAGTTCTTGGAAGACTAACCCACTAAAACATAAACATATAATAGGTGAAAACTAAGGAAGAAATTCTTCACCATGAGCACGGTGAGACACTGACACAAGTTGTCCAGAGAAGTTGTGGCTGTCCCATCCCTGGAAGTGTTCAAGGCCAGGCTGGACAGGGCTTTGAGCAACTTCTGTTTCTAGTGGAAGGTATCCCTGCCCATGGCAGGGGGTTGGAACTAGATGATCTTTAAGGACCCTTCCAACTCAAACCATTCTATGAAGTAGATTGCTGAGGCACTTCATGTTTTATGGAAGAATAAAATACTTAGCATTGTATCATAATGTATGTATTCTAGTATTCCTTGGGAGCTAAGGGAAGAGTTGTCTGTCTTTGTTTTTAAGATTGGTCTTTGTTGTATGTATGCATATATTTATGTTCCATCTTCAGTGAATGAGAGAACTGAACACAGACATGCTGATATGACTGCTGATCTTACGTATCACTAGACACATGATACTGGTTGTCTCTGATTAACGATTTGCTTGGATAACATGGAGCACTTGGTTCTTGATGCACTGTCAAATTTGGCCTGTCATCTCTCATATACAAACTTCTATTTGTGGAACAAAAAAAATCAATGTCCTTGTTTTCTCTTCAATGTTCACAGTTAGCCCTATTTCATCTGACATAGTTTCGGAATTCGTCGTAAAGGAGCAAATACGTGAAATGAATAAAGAAATTGCTGAGAAAACAGAGAAGTATAAGAAATGCAAGCAAATGTTGGCAGTAAGTGCATGGCTGCTTCGGAAAGCTGAATTGAAAGTGGCTATAGGTGCTAAGTCTTAAAAACGCAAAGCCTACCCAGCTGAGTTGCCTTGCTTGTGTGATGCACTGTGATTATGGTAGAAATCTTAGCATAAGGAAACACATTCTTATTGAGTCAGCTCTTGCTTACCTGTGGTGTTAGAGAATCCAGATAAGGACTTCTCAGGAAAACCCACGTGGAAGAAAACAGATGAACAGAAATACTCCTATGCCTAAGGTTTTGAATACTTCTTTTCATTATATTTAAAGTGTTACTGCTTTTATAAATCAAACACAGCACATTGCTGTAAGCCAGCTGATGTCTGGAGCAAGTATAGTAGTGTTCAAGTGTAATAACTCTTCCAGATCTGATTGTCTGGGGCTTCTGCAGTGTTTTGACGTGTGAGTGGGTGCTACCTGCTAGCTTGGGCTGAGTCATACATAAAGACATTTATATGGTTCTGTGGACCAAATTTGGCACCAGTAGGGCTGTAGCCATAATAGTAATGACCTTCAAATATTAATACCTGTCCTAACTTGATTTTCATTTAACCAGTTTGGATGTATGTATGTATGATGGAGTACTGCAACAGTGATGCTGGTGTAAAGTTGACTTGTAGAATTAAGAAATGCTTTCTGGGTGTTGTCTTATCTCTGTTCATCTTGTTTCTCTTATTTATCACAATGAGATTATTCTATTTTGATGTGCTCTCCGGGATGTAACAACTGTCCTGTAACTCTGCTCATTACCCTGTCTATGGAGAGCCTGTGTTAGCTTCTGCTGGCTATTTCTTCTGTAGTCATGCTTGGGGAAAGCTTTGCCTTTGACCTTCTGGATGAAAGATACTTAAGTTGTAAAAGTTGCATGGGGAAAGGTTTTCTATTGACGTGAGATCCCTGACAGGAAAATCATGATTACAGCGTAGTATTAGGATAGAAAGAAACTTGAAACTGTGAAGCTAAAGACAGTATCAGCTCAGGCAAGAAAAAAAATATGTATTGAACATCATTTATGGAGTCTTCACTGGTCCTGTCCTTTTCAAAGTCTTGAGTCAGACTTTATTTCTTGGGGAAGCCATTCATAAATGGTCTTGTTCTAAATGCATGGAATTAGTGTCATTGTTGGGGTGGGAGGGGAAATCTCTTAAAATTGTAAATATTTCATGTCATGATATAAACTACTTTAGGAGGAGAAGATGAAATGCAGTGTTTATGCTGATGAGCTAGCTAAACTTGAGCTGAAGTGGAAAGAACAAGTGAAAATCAATGAGGGTATAAAATTACAGCTGGCAGCAATGGAGGATCAGTATAAAGTAAGTTACAGATTTTATTTTTCTTTTTTATGACAACAAGTGGTGTCATGTTCTTGACATAGTTGCTTGTTTCTAATGGTTCAAGTAACAAAGAATTTTAAGGGGGAAAAACCACTGTGAATGTATTTTTGCTGTAAATAGGAATTCTGTTTTGGACTTGTAGAAAGAACAGGGTCATGTAATGCTTCTTGTAAAGTAAGACAGACCTGCTAAGTATATTACCAAATGGCTATCAGTCTTTTAATATTATGGATTTAGACAAACCTCTAAATGACATTAATCTTGTATTACAGGAAGAAAAGGGCTAGAGACTTCCAATTTCCTGTTGCTTACTAGAATACTAACAGGAATATTGATTGGTGTATTTGTGTAAAATCTTCATATTTCATGCTGCATTGCCAGTGTGGTGGTGTCTGATGCATTTTATCTGAACTAACTAGAGGGATACAAGATGGGCAATACATTGTTTTTAAAATCATCATGAGAGAATTATTTAATTTGGAGAATTTCAGCTGTAGTCTTAGAGTGATGTAACACAGACACCAGAAAGTCAAGCGTAATGGACAGCTTTAGCTTAATGTTTGAGCTTATGTGATAGTAATACATGTGTTGAAGTGTTTTTTTTGTATTTCGACAAGAGCAATACATTTCCATAAGACCAGCTTTTGTGCTTGTTCTCAGTCTAATGGTGGTAGTGTAATTGACAGGGTAGAATACTGTTGCCCATTTTTGCCCATTGTGATGAACAAGGGTTAAATTGAACTGCTGCCACATCAGTTGCAGTAGGGAATCCCCTTCCTTTCCATTAGAAATTACAGCACTTTTTCTTTATAAAATGCTGAATTACTCTACAGCTTACTTTAGCCCTTTGAAGGCTGACCTTTTTTGGCACTTTCAAAGCTCTAATTTCAATTTTATAAAATGCATGATTCTTTTCTATTTATTAAATTTTACTAACTAGCAGTGATCAGTTGCCATGTCTAATTGAATGTAAAATAAGTTTGTTTTTTTAACTTACCAACAGCTGGGGTAATAAATAATTTGTTCCAAAATTGAAAGCATTTTGACTGCAATTCAAAACTTAGTATCATTTGGGAGAAAAAGCAAGGTTTTCTTCCAAGTCAGTTGATTTTGCTGTGTTGACCTGAACTAGGAGATGGAATTTTAGAATTGACAAAAATTTTAGAGTTGCAGAGAATTGAACTTAAAATGCTAGAAAAGCTAATGGAGAGGCAGTCTCCAAAGTAAACAGAATCCAAATGAAATAGCCCTTTGCAGAGAAGGTTTATTTAAGTAATCATTTTGAAGCAAGGAGGAGGCCTGAAAAAATTGTGTTATGCATCAGTAGCATCTCCTCCCAGAGCACCGAGCAGATTACACAAGGTAGATGTTGGTGAGACAAATTTAGTGTCTTTTGGTTCTCTCAGTTCTGTGGTGGGACATAAATGCTGGAGAGAAGTGAATAAAATAAATCACTTAAGTGACAATGGTTTCCTCCAGAAATAATGAGATGAGGTTTGCAAACTTTCAGCTGGTTTTGGTCAGTGGTGTCCCTCCTGCCATTGGTATCACCAATGGTACTCCTTGTTTTTAACCAAGGATTTTATCGTTCCACAACTGTTTTCTGAAAACTGGCAAGAAAAGGCTGCTAATGTCCTGTTCTTATCCAGCAGATAAGGAGACTAGTTGGTTTTGATATAGTAGTACTAGAGGTTGCATATAACTATAGTAGACAAAATGATTTCCATCTGAAATATGAACTTGGTTTTCATAATATAACAGCAGGGAAATAGTTTCTATTCACTAATAAGGAACCTGATACTTCTTTTCATATAGGTTCAGCTGGCAGAAAAAGAGAGACGAATAAAGGAACTGGCATCACAGTTGGAACTCTTTACCAGTGAGAAGGTATTGTCAGGATTCCTGTTAAATTTTGTAAATTAACACTTGTGAAGTTCTTTAGTATGAGGAATTGCAACGTATTTTTAAGTGAGAATTTGTTTACTCTTTAAACATTTTGATATTGGGATATCTTGCTAAAGTGAATTAGCATTTTCAAATATAAGTTCTGTTAATACTGGTACATTAAAAAAAAATGTAGACCACAGTACATCAAAACTGACTCAACCTTTGAGAATACTGTCGTTAATTGTTCTGTAATAGTGTTCTAGAATATTTTCTACCTGTAATTTAACAAAAATGCTGCAATGTCAAAAATAATTTCTTTGTTCCTGTCTAGAATGGTATTCCATCCAGGATCTAAAGGAATTATTTCTGTTTGCAGGTAGGGATTACTCTGTGTCAGTAATCTGAGCAGCTTGCTGTACAGTTCACAGCACATAGCAGTTCCTACAAGTTTTTTGTCCTGTGCTCCATTCTCGTATCAGCAGCATTACTGGTTTTCTCCAAGTTTTCGATGGACTTCCAGCCTCCTTCCTGCATTGCTCCCCTTTATCTCTTAGTGAAAGAGGTTCAGCCCTGTTGCATCTAGAGGCTAATACCAGTTTAGTGTACATGCTGCTTGGCCAAATAGAAAGGGTTATTATCGAGCTCATACTGCAGCCTTTCTGTCCACTAAGGGAGCATCAGTTAACAAAAGTTGCAGGAATTTACTTTCTTTGAGACAGACTCCCTGATACTATTGGGAGTTACTGGCTGATGGGCAGTACAATTAGTAAACCTTATTCCCTTTGGAATCCTGGCATAAGACATGAACACTCATACCTAGTGTGACAGTTTATTTTTTCCATCACTGGTTAGGACTATTTTTGCTTTTATCCAGTGTTGTCCTATAGCTAAAGATGTAGACATTTCAGCAGTATGATCTCCAGGTTTTTCATGATGTGTGCATACAACCAAATCCTTTTGACATCTGCAGTTCTCTTACTGACTGCTTGTAATAATAAGAGCAGCTTGACATGTGACAGTAGTGACTTTGGTAAACTACAGCCAGAAAAATATCTTTATCAGAAAAGAACAATACACAAACAGTACTCTGATTTTTAAATATGTGCTAGAAAATGGACTGCTACTTTCAAGAGTTCACTGTCTTATCAAATAAACTACCATTACTGCTAAATCAGATGTTCCAAAGTATTAATGCTAGAAGCACCTCTAAGGTACTGGATGGCAATTAATCAAAGATATGTTTTACTGAAAAGTGAAATAATAAAATATCTTTATTACATTCAGATAGTATTGGATGACATTGTGAAAATGTTGTGATTGTTCAGATTACTTCAAAAATCCAGTATGAACAGATACTTAGTAACAACAGGAATTTGCATACTATTAAATTGAAATTAAACTAATTTCAGATTAAATGTTCTGTAAAATTGTAGGTTCTCAAGTAGTTGGTATTTATCTTTTTTTTTTTAATGAAAGATGCTATTTTTAATAGGTCACTCATTTTTCTAACTCTGAAGCAAATTAAAAGTAAGAGTTTTGATGAACCTAGTTTAGCTGCAGGGAGTAATTTTAAACACCACACATAAGAAGAGCAACTGTAATAATAACATATGTGGCTTATAAAACCTTAGGGCTTCATCTACCAAATTTATAGATATTTACATTACAAAGAAGAATCAAAGTGCCTTGCTAGACTGGAACCATGATTTAAAAGGTTAAGCACGGTATAGTAAACAGCTTTTCAATTTATACTCCATTATCAGTGTTTGTTTATAAATGTCACCAAACAGAGCATGCTAAAAATGTTCATTTATTGTCTCTTCAAACCTATAAAATGACTTGGTTTCTATTTTACTTACATACTTATATGGCCTTTTTTTTTTTTTTTAGATCGGTCTTTACCCTCACTATCCAACTTCTGGCTAAGGCTGCTTTACAGTACCTTTTTACAGTTGCTTTGATCTACATTCTCTTTTAATCTTATGTGATGCTAAAATTAAAAGATTAGTGCCGCTGCCTCTCAGTCTAAACTGCTTTCATATTGCAGAAGGAATTGGGTTTAAAAAGGAAAATCTTAATTTCACTGATAATTAATTGTTCCTGCTTTGTATGGAGTGAATATGAATTATTTAGATTCTACACGCTCACGAAACCTTTAAGATGTAATCCTAACCATTTAACCCTAACCATTTAAATCTAGTCTGTAAATCTAAAGTAATGCTAACATAGTTTTATATCATATCTGCAGGAGGATATTTTACTTGGAAGGTGTTAAGCAGATTGTGTTTTCTTGTCAGACAGTTATGTTGTCCTGTATTAGAAGGTTTTGCTAAAAGAAAGTAAATATTGCAGTGTTTATGGTTAGTGCCCCAGAACTTTCTATAGCTGCCTTACCATTTGTAGATACCACTTTTTTTCCTGTTTGAAGATGCCTTTATGATGATGATGTTGGAGTCTAAACCTTTTATGTCTGAAACCTGATATTACATATATAGCAGTAAATGTATAACTTCCATCTTTTTTCATTTCAGTGGTGTTTTGTTTTCAGATTAGCTATTGCTACTTGCTTTTTGCATTTTTGTGTTCTAGAGTTTGGGATGAAGTTTACCTGTTTTTAAGAAAAATATATTGAGTTGTTCTTTTTGAATAATGAAGGCATTTTACTTCCCATGTAGTTAAATGGGTAGTTGAAATCTTGGGGTTTAGTTTCATTTTTAAGTCTTGAGAAAAAGGCACACTTCCATGTTTGAGGTTTTTGTTAACATTACGTTAGCAAATACTAAACATGAACCCAGAGAACCCACAAGAAAATGCTAACCAGAAATAACAGCATGATTGGAGAGCATCCCTCTCTTAACAATATGTATTTTTAAATTACTATTTTCATTTCTGCATCTTAGAATGTTTTGCTTGGTTCTAAAGTGTAAATGGTATACTCGTTTGGATATTCTTGGCACACATGCTCTCTCTCCCTTAACCTGTTTTATTAAATGGAAGGATGAGAGACTTTTCTTTGGATAAATTACAGCTGGTGCACTGACCACACTTCAGTGACTTTAATTATTGTATTTTAGCATATATATTGGCTTAGACTTAAAATGGCTTATAAGTTGTAAAAACTCTTTAGTAGTTTATAATAGTTATTATAATCTTTATGGGTTATATGCAAGAATTTAGAGTTTTAAGTATATTAATTTTTGGAAGAGTTACATTTTCAAGTGTGCATACATGCTATTTTGTTTTTTTATAGAGAGACTTCCACTGAATAACAGTATTTTCTTCAGAGTGCTCCTGCAAACTAATCTTTCTCTCATGCCCACTAAGAAGAAACTTTACTAGGATTCTGTAAGTTAATTACATCTTAAACTTTGCATTATTTAGGAACTTGGTAGGACACCAGGAAATCAAGTTGGAAGGATGATGGAAGGACAGATTTCACAGCAGACATTACATTTTCGCAACCCATATTCGGAGGAAAATGGACCAGTTCCTGCAGTGCCAAGCAGACTGCCAGTATTGCAATATGGAAACCCTTACGCAATTCAGGAGAGAAGAGGTAAGTAAATTACTCTCCACTCCTCACCGCCCATATAATTTCTCTTACTGTTTCAAAAGCAGTGGCTTGTTTAATGCAGGTTAAGTATCAGTAATCTTTATACTGGTGTACAGAGCCTTTATTGATTGATGAGAATCAATAAAATGCCTTTATTATACTGATGAGACTCAAGAAGGTAAATAAAGTTTTAAAGAAACACCTTTTGAAAAAGGTGATTTCTTTTCTATTCTTTTCTATTATTTTCTACTATCTAAACTGAAAACGTGTTTAAGTCTTGATTTTTAAATGTAAGGAAGCGCATCTGTAATCTTGAAACACAAACTCTACTGAACAAAGATGCTCTTAATTATTTTTTTCTTCAGACGGAGCAGATGGTGCTTTCAATCCTGATGAGATCCAAAGGCCACCTGTTAGAACTTCCTTTTGGGAGCTAGAAGACGATGTAGTGTGTAGTCAGCCTTCACGCAATCTTAGTCGGCCTGATGGTTTAGAAGATCCTGAGGATAGCAACGTAAGTTACCTTTTTATTATTATTTTTTTCCTTGGTATATTTACTACTGAGTAATCAAGAGTTGCACATTGGTTTTCAGTATCTGATAAGCCTATTTTATCGTTACATAAATCCAGGTGGTTGGTTGTTTTGTTTTGTTTTGTTTTTTTTCTTTTCCCTGAACAATGTTTTAGGTGAATTTTTGCTTGCTTTGAAGGAGACAACTCTGCATCAAGTGATAATAATATACTTGTTCCTCCAGTCTCTTGAGTAACTGACAGCTTGTTTGGTATTGGGACGGTAGCAGCTGCTTTATCTTTTTAAATACTGAAGTAGAAAAATCCAAGTAATCTCAACTCATTCTGATTTTTCTCTCCTGTGTGGTAGAATGAGGGCTCAAAATATAGCCATGTCTCACTCATTTTGTGATGTGTATATAGGAACTAAATTGTAAAGAGAATGAATACAAATTGAAATAGTTCTGATGCTACTATTTGCAGCTGACTGCTGAATGAAAATCTAGTTTTTATCAGAATCTTTATTCTAATGTATTAATCTTTTGTTCTGTCTTTCGAAAATATGCACATATTAATCTACATTTTGAATGGGTTTTGCTATTAGTCATGGACTTAGAAGTACTAATTGACTGTTATCTAAAGCTGATTAAACTGAAGGTGACAGATTCTCACTGATTCCCTTTTTGGGGCTTTATGTTTTAAGTGGAAACTGCTTAGCTTTTTTTTAGCACGGTTAACTTTCTTGTTCTGGTATAAACAGTTGGCTTCTGTTGTACGTTGGACTCTATGTCTTCATTTGAACAGGAACAGACTTATTTCTTTTTCCAAGTACTCTTGCACTTTCAAAAATATTAAACAAGGAATACCTTTCTGCAAAATATTGTGCTCTTTGCAGGTACAGTGGTATCATGACCCATTTCTCATTTAGTCTAGTTTGCCACATTTAATTGCTATTAACCTTTGCAGAAGCTGATCATTGTTCAGACAGGCACGATTTTAGCCTTGGTGCTCAGCACCTATAATGGAGAAAAACGTGTTTCTCCCTCTTACCTTTTGCCCCCAATGTCCGTTACTGTGAATAATTAGCGAAACTGTCAGAACTTTTGCAGCCTGTTCAAGATCTAGAATGTGAGCTTAATGCTGTTGCCCACCTTTACTTCACATTTTGCATATTTAATCTGATCATTCTTGACGTAGATATTACATATGACAAGCTCTTCTTTAGTCATCTGCTTCAGTTTAATTAGCAGGGTGTTCTTCCTGATCTATGTGCTTTGCCCTCTTGCAAACTCAGGAGAAACAGTGCTAGAGTCTTGTGCTCATTTGCAGACACAGCTTGGAATTTTGTAATGAGATGGAATATAACAGGCTTAAATAAAGTTCAGCTCGAGAAAAAGTGCTTTTAAATCAAATAATTTAGGTCGTTGTTTTTTTTACTTTCAAATAAGAATCAGTTGCTTGCTCCTACCAAAAAATAGAGTGTATGTGCAGTGTTCAAATTTACTTGGAAATGGATCATTGCAGGCATCCTTCTAGAGAGACTTAATAATGTGCCAAAGATAAACCAGCTCTAATGCAGTATTTAAAGAAATAACCAGGGGGATACTGTCTTCAGTTACTGAATTGTAGAGTAAGAAAGGATACGTATGCAAACACATCAGAATTGTTTAATGTTGCTGTCATGTTCTGATTCTTGTTTCTCCCAAAATTTTGTTCCTTGGGAATGGGAACTGCCACGTATTTGACTGATGAGAAGAAACATCAGTTTTGTATGACTCTAAGACTTTCCAGAATTCTTTGTAGCTTTAGGTTTTTGAATTCTCAGGCCAATTGAACTGTGATTTCTGAGAGGGATAAGCTGGTCTGTGTTAATCATGCCAGATGAGCACACACACAGTGGCACTTCTGTGTAGAATAGTGGCCTTGCCACAAGTTCCTGCCATCTACTCAGCACTAACCTTCCATTTGCTCATGCTCCCATAATTGACCAAAATGTAATCATTTGGAGCAGATAATTTCTAGAAGCAGTTATGTACGGGAAAGATCCATAAACAAAACTTACATATATTTAAAGTGAGAGTATTAGAAAAGTAGTCCTGCTTACAGTTGGCAGTAAGCCCAGAATAATTATCCTGAGACTTTTAAACAATATTGTTAGTCACAGTAAGCTTGTGGGGGATGAAGAGTGTAACTTTTGGGCACTGACGACCAAGACAGGATATTTTTTTGAGATGAGTCCAAAATGGCCTTTCTTCTAGCAAAAATCCCTCACTCCACTTTATTAGCCTTATCTTACCCTGGCAGCCAATTACTAACTCCTGTATAGGATAGACATAAAAGGACCAGTTGGTATCTGGGTACCTCTTGGAAGACCAGACTGCTTCCAGAGAGGGAGGAGTTTGTTTGATTTCACTCCCACAGCAGAGCTGAATCACAGACAGAAAACATATGTACTACTCTTTCTGCTTTGCCCATACTATACGTTAGCAGTGTGTCTGTTCATTTATTGTTTAAATCCTAAGATGGGTATCAGTTCGCTTACTGCGGCATGTCAAATGCTCTGTAGAAATCAGAGATGGGGATTGTTTAAGTCTGTGGGTTTTGTACAGTGTCACATGGCTTTATTTCTAATTCTGTTTGGCAGTCTTGGAACTGCTTGCAGTTGTGATTATGAAAGCAGTACTTGAAACAAAATGGGTTAGTTTTGGTAAAACTAGGTGAGTCATGCTTATTTCTGACAAGCGATGTCTGGCTTTCCTTTCTTCCTCTTTGAGTGACAAACCCCCTCTTTTGCCATGCTTTATTATGTAATCCTCTGTTTATCTTTGATACATATAATCTGTGGAACTCATTGTGGCTAAAGAGTCAGTTACAGTCCAGTGATAATAGTTAAGTCATGATGTTAAAGGCATCCTTTATAATTTGTTAACCTCATTATCCAAACTTTGGAACTTGGAAGGCCTGGCACTTGTGCTGCATAACCACAGTGCTGGGTGGTGAGTGCCTGACACCAGACTCTTTCTGGAAGGACCTGAGGCCACATATCAACTGTGTTACATCACTGCAGGGCGCTGCAGGGGTCCTGGACCAAGTATGTGCAGCCGTGTCTCTATAGTCACCAGTCTGGGGTGCGAGAAAGCTGGCTCTGGGTGTGTGCAAAGGGCAGATTAAGCTGTCTCTTTCTCAAAATACAGAGCATGGGCTTCTGTCCAAATAACTTGGATGACTCGACCATAGGGTCTTCAGAGTAAGCTGATGCCTATGCTTAAAATACAGCACAGGCCAAGCCATTGAGGCCCGACGTCCCGGCAGTTAAGTATCAGACTCTTTTTCTGTAAAGCAGCTTCAGCTAGTGCCTTCTTATTCCAGCTGCTGAATCTTTAGGGGATGGCTTGTTTTACCATGGGACAGTGACTGGTTTTTAAATGTCAGGTTGAAAAGCATATACTATACAACATCGTTAGAATAAATACTGTATCATTGGTTATACTCGCTGAAAGAAACTGGGCACCTAAGTGATCCTGGACCAGGATGAGTAAGACCTCTCCTCCCTTCATAGAGTTCTCCATGTTACATGGTACACTTCAGGAGTTTTGTCCATCTGAAATGACAAAAGTAGCTGTCAGAGAGCCATACTATGGGACATAGTCTGTGTTTTCCAGAAGTTCCAAGTTACCCCAGGGCAGTGAATTAGAATTTTAGTTATTGGTGCTCGTAGACTGTTTACTGTAACTTGTAATTAGAATGGTTGTGAAATACTTCCAGACTAAGGTGAAGTTCTCACTGTTTCTGTTTGACCATTCTTTTATAGAGTAATCTCTGCAATAACCACCTTGAGCTATGCTTAGCATATATATTTGTGTTGTTCTTGTTTGGGTTAAGCATAACAAAAAGTTAAGAATTGATCTTTCTTTATATATTTGGCCAAGAGCAGAAGTACACTGAAGAGGCAGACTTTCAGTTTATCAGTTCAGTGTTACCATTGTCACATAGTTCACATGTCAGAAGCCACTATAAGGAACCCACTGTATGATTTTTACAGTTAATTGAACTGGGTCATGAGAAAGCTGTATCCTTCTGGCATACCAAATTAAATGATAGTTCAACAGTTTAGAAAAAGTCTTTTCTGATGTCAGTAGCTTGTGCTTGCCTTTTGTCGAAGCATGTGCCAACAAGGCAGGATAGTGCCCATGTAGGGGAAAGCATCACACTCTTGTTCAGATTGGTTCCTCTGAAAGGAGTGAGGAGGAATGTTGTATTTGTACGTGGTAGGGCATCACACTTGCCAGATGCTGGAAGAAAGGACAGAAGATGTGAATCATTTTATCTCACTAGCAGTAACCCCTTTCGAATTTAAAAAAAAAAGGGGGGGTGAGGGGCAAAATTCTGACTAGTAGCTAAATGAACTGGAGTTAAGTAATGTGAAACAGCTACCCAAAACAGACTTGCCCCCCAACCTGTTAACCTGTTAGATAAAGTGGACAGGCAGGGCTGACTTCTTTTTAAATAAGTTTTTTAAATGGCAGGCTTTTGAATAAACCCATAAACCCATCCAAATGGACTGTGGATTCTAATGAAAATCCTGGGTTTCCCATGGACTCTGGTAGTAGAGCAGGAATATGCCTGTGGGGTGGCTGATGCTAAAGCAGTGTGACACAGCTGATACAGGTGGAGGAGGGCATTGGTGAGATCACTTCCAGCTGTGTAACGTGAACATCTCTCACTTGCTGCTAGGTACATTTTAATGTCTGTGTAATGTGTGCATAGAGACAGGTTTGATTTTCTGGTGGGGAAGCTAAAGTTTCTGTGGTGCTCTGAGACGTGTACGGGAGGTGGCTCACTGTGGGACCGACGAGTTCCAGGTTTGTTACAGCTCAGGTCAGTGGTTCCTTTCAGGTCTGTGCAAAGAACCTTTCTAAAAGGTAGGGTCTCTTGAATGCCTTAGTATATGGGAAAAAGAGACCCATCTTCATCATGTTAGCCACAAAATTCAGGTCAATTTCCTTCTATACCAAGTTAATATATAACTTAAGGAATATGAGGTTGAAAAGCCCTTTTGCAAAAGAAACACCTTGTCTACCTCATCACTTGTAAACAGGTGTTAGTAGGTGCTGTGACAAAAACTGTCCTGTGTTCAAGAGGTAACTGAGCGACAAACCGTAAAGAATTATAAGAATGTATTTTCTAAGGATTTAAATGTTAATTAGGCCTCTTTTTGTAGTGGAACTATTTTTGTTTTGGGGGGAAGATACACATTTGTTTTTGCAGAGAAGTCCTGGTCTGCTTACAGTCTGGTGTTCAGCTATTTGTTCTGGTTTTGGTGCTGTGTAAGCTGTAGCACTTTGAATAGTTTTTCTTCTTTAATACATACATCCTCTCTCTTTTGTGCCCAAAGGAGCAAACAATACTTTAAACCCCATATGCCTTTTTTACTGCAGGTGCAAAGCAAGCAAGTTAGACAGGAAATACGTCTGTTGCTAGCATCTGTCACTGCAAGCCCCACTCTGCTTAATGGAAACGTTAAATGGTTGAAACTAAACAGCTGTTGTCAGGAGAACAGAAATATTGAGGGAATCTCCCCATCCTGCCCTGTTTCCATTAACTCTTCATAAGGACAAAGCATGTTAGCCTAAAAATTAAATATATTTGAATATACGTATTAGTTACGTGTAGAAAACATGCAGCATGTCTGCTGGTATAGATGGTCCTGTGCACATTCAGTTTCGAAGATCAGCCAAGCACATTCCTAATTCTTGCATGTAAGGTGTCTTTTGAGATGAAAGGGAAAATGGTCCAGGACTTGGCATTTCAAAAGTCTTGCTGAATTTACCTGTATGCCCACTTTGAGTAAGTTTTGTGCTGCATTATCTATTGGCAGAACCAGACCCAAGATGCTGTGTAACAAGTAGTTCGATACTGCGTGAAGAATGGGGTTTACAAACACAGTTCTGATTTTTTAACTCCTCCTTCAGTTTATTTTCTTCTTGTGCTGATTTCTTCCCCTGACAGTGTCTGTGTGCATCACTGTGGTTATTTAAATCTTAATTTCTAATAGTGGCATCACAGAATAAAAACCCCACCCCCCAAACCTGCAAACCCCGAGTGCTCTGACTGATTGCTTGTCAGAAGGCAGCTCTCAGAATCCTGTTGCTGTTGGTGTTCTTCACTCTCCTGCCTGAGAGTTTCCCATTGCTGGCAGATTTCTTTCTCCTCCTGAGGGACGTGAGGAGCAGCGTGTTCCCCAGAGCCTGCCCTGCCTGCCTGCCCTGAGAGCAGCAATGAGGCAAAGCTGCTTGTCCATCAGCTGGGCCACCCTGCTCAGTGTGGCTGCAGCAGCAGGTTCTGTGGTGGTAGTGCCCGGGAAGGAGAGTGCAGCCGACAGGGTGGTGGGAGGCAGCAGCCAGACAGGGCGACTGAGCTGACGGGCGACAGCAGCGTGAAGCCTGTGACATGTTTGGCTGGTGGGAGCAGCACAGGCAGATTGCTGGGAACCGACTGGCAGCACATGAATGGAAATCATTGTCTTTTCCCATTGCTGAAATCCAAATTGTCAGATTTTTAAAGCCTGACATGACATTTGATTGTGTAGGAGTTGAGTTTTAGCTCTTGATAGATCACAGAATGGTTTGGGTTGGAGGGGACCATGAAGATCATCCAGTTCCACCCCCCGCCACAGGCAGGGAACACTTACCCCAGGCGAGGTTGCTTC